TTTCTGGTGATGCCTTTTGGGCTCACCAATGCACCGGCAGTTTTTATGGATTTGATGAACCGGATCTTCCAGGAATTCTTAGACCGTTTTGTAGTCGTTTTCGTGAACGACATTCTTATCTATTCGCCTTTTAAGGAGGAGCACGAGGAACACTTGAGAGTGGTGCTTGAGTTGCTTAGAGCCCATGGGCTGTATGCCAAGTATGGGAAGTGTGAGTTCTGGCTAGGAGAGGTCAAATTCTTAGGCCATGTGGTATCCGGGGAAGGGGTGTCTGTTGATACATCCAAGGTAGAGGCAATGCAAGATTGGGCACAGCCTAAGAGTGTGTTTGAGATCCGCAGTTTTCTGGGATTAGCTGGGTATTCCCGTCGGTTTGTGAAAGATTTCTCCAGGCTAGCTTCGTCGTTGACTAGATTGACGTGCAAAGGGGTCAAGTTTGTGTGAAGTGAGACTTGCGAAAAGTCGTTCCAAGAGTTGAAGGTTAGATTGACCACCGCTCCGGTTTTGACTATTCTGGAGAGAGGGTTGGGGTACGCGGTTTATTGTGATGCCTCATGAGAAGGTTTGGGTTGTGTGTTGATGCAAGAGGGGAAAGTGGTAGCTTATGGCTCATGTCAGTTGAAAATACACGAGAAAAATTACCCTACACACGATCTAGAGCTAGCAGCAGTGATCTTTGCCTTGAAAATCTGGAGGCACTACTTTTTTGGTGAGAGATTCAAGGTATTCTCGGATCATAAGAGTTTGAAATATCTGTTTACACAGAAAGACTTGACCTTGAGGCAGAGGAGGTGGATGGAGTTCATTGAGGACTATGATTTTGAGTTACACTATCACCCGGGAAAGGCCAATGTTGTGGCCGATGCCCTTAGTAGGAAATCCATTAGTGATGTAGCTTGTATAGCCATCCGGGAGTGGGATATGTTGGGTGCACTTGGCGAGTTTGACTTGCTTCTGAGCGAATCAGTTGTGGCTGCGACCTTGTTTTCTGTTGTTGCGCCTCCTACACTTGTGACCCGAGTATTAGAGGCACAGAGAGGTGACCTTGAGGTCAAGTCCTTCCGAGAGAAGATCTCCAGTGGAAAGGTTGAGAAGGGTTTGATGGTGTATCCCGACCAGAGTGTGAGATACCGAGACTGTTTGTTTGTGCCGGAGTCTTGCCGAGAGGAAGTACTCCGAGAGTTCCATCATTCACGCCTTGCGGTGCATCCGGGATTTGGGTC